GAAGAACTTTCATTTGAGGTTTCAAAGTGGTGGACTGAGTTTTTTGCAGAAATCGATGACTTGAATAATGTTTCGTTCCCAAGAAGTTTAACACCACCGAACACTATTGGACTACCGACACTTTGTATTTTTGCGGACGCGTCTCGAGATGCATTTGGAGCATGTTCTTATTTACGCTGGGAAAAGTCAAGTGGTAATTATGAAAGTCGATTTATATCTGCTAAGTCGAGAGTTGCCCCTTTTAAAGAATTGACAATACCTCGTTTGGAGCTACAGGCAGCAGTTCTAGCTAGTCGATTGTACAAGACCATAATAGAAGAATGTCGTTTACAGTTCGAGAGAGTTATTTTCTTTACGGACAGTATGATAGTCCTTACATGGATTCGTAGTCAGTCAAGAGAATTCAAACCATTTGTGTCGAGCAGGGTTGCGGAAATTCAAACGAATTGTGATCCATCGACATGGAGACACATACCAAGTGAGCACAATGTAGCCGATGATTTATCAAGAGGCATTCCAGCGAAAGATCTAGAACACCGTTGGAAGAATGGCTCAAAGTTCCTGAATCAACCCAAAGAAGAATGGCCTGAACAACCAGCTATGCTAATCGATCCCGCGGAACTCGACAAAGAACGTCGAAATACCCAAGCGGTTTTTTCCTTAAGTACCGTACCGACAGTAATTGACCCAACGAAATTTTCGAAGTGGAAGAGATTGGTGAGAGTGACGGCGTGGATCTTACGATACACACGAAATCTACGATTAAAAACGAAACCCGAAGATAATGTCGACCCGTTAACAGCTGTTGAGTTAGAACAGGCCGAAGAGTTATGGATCAAGACAGCACAAAAAGAGTTACACGAACGTGTTAAGAACAAAGAGTTCAATATGCTTAGTCCATTCACAGATGACAAAGGAATCATAAGAGTCGGCGGACGAGTGGATAAAGCTATCGTAACGTATGATAATCCAGTACTTCTTCCCAAGAACCACCACATTTCATACCTGATTACCAAAGATGTACATCAGATTACTCACACTGGGATAGCGTCGACAGCGGCGAAAACAAGAAGAAAATGTTGGATTATCGGAGTGCAAAAATTGGCAAAGTTAATCAAGGAAAAGTGTATTTACTGCAAGAAGTCGCATCCAAAGATTGAATCGCAAGTTATGGCTGAACTGCCGAAGATAAGATTGATGCCTCAAACACCTCCATTTTACCATACAGCTTGTGACTATTTCGGTCCGTATAAAGTCAAAATTGGAAGAAATAAAACCACTAAACACTATGGTGTTTTGTTTATTTGTCTGAACACTCGGGCAGTTCATTTGGAACTTGCAACAGACTGTTCAACAATGGAATTCATCCAAGTACTCCGAAGATTCTTCGCGATTAGAGGTTACCCTTCATTAATGTTGAGCGATAATGGAACACAACTGGTCGGCGCAGAGAGCGAACTGGCAAAGATGATCCAAGGTTGGGATGTGAAGAAACTCAAGGAGTATGCAGCAGATAAAAGAATGGAGTGGAAATTCATTACTTCTAATGCCCCACATCAAAACGGATGTGCCGAATCGTTAGTAAAAAGTTGTAAATTAGCCCTTAAACAAGCCATGGGAGATAACCTTCTCACACCATTTGAATTGCACACCGTACTGCTTGAAGTAGCAAATCTGGTAAACCAACGACCAATTGGTAGACCAACCAACGACCCCGATGATGGTACATACCTATGTCCGAATGACCTTTTATTAGGAAGAGCTTCCTCGCATGTTCCACAAGGACCATTCCTGAAGACAAAGAACCCGCGTCATAGAGTTGAATTTCTACAACAGATTCTTGACTCGTTTTGGAAACGATGGACCAGAGACATCTTCCCCTGTTTAGTTTCACGAAAGAAATGGGATGTTCAACGACGCGATGTCAAAGTCAACGATATTGTCATGTTAATTGATTCGAATGCGGTACGAGGCAATTGGACGATCGGAAGAATCATTGAAGTTCATCCAGGTAAAGATGGAAAAGTTCGAAATGTAACAGTAAAAACACAAAATGGTAATTACCGAAGACCTATTACTAAAATCTCAGTTATTCACCCCGTGGACGGGGAATAGAATGAGAACAATGTCCTCATTGGGGTGGATGATGTTTCGCCAATTTAAAAATAGATAAATAATTACGTCATTGAACAGACAAAGTCACGTGACAGAAAAGAGCGGGAAATAAACACGTTGGTTTTAAGCTGTTTACTCGAGGTTTAACGATCAGAAATAGGTTTATATTTGGTGTATTGTAAAGTGATATAGGCCAAAGAAGTAAGTTCATGTTGTTTATTATTACTAATTTACTTTATTCAGTAGATAATTCTTGTATTTATACTTTTAGATCGAATATTACTGCTACTATTAAATACTACAACTATTATACGATATTTGGAAATTATTTGTGGTCACTTTACAAACCGGTAATTCTGATTCTGGCGAGCCAATCATCCTCGGGTACATAAATAACCCGTATAAGGTAGTAAAAAAAACACATTAAAACTATCGTCATCAGCAACCCTAGTTTTTCATAAAATTTCAAACGCATAAAAATATTTAAAAAATTCAAAATAATCATATAATTCATCTTAGCCGTATCTGGTCAAAACACACACACTTCGTTACCAAGGTCAATATGTACAAATCAAACCACATTTTGCCCATATACGGTAAAAAAAGCCTTGACAATTTTATTCAAGGTCAAAATCAAACCACAATTTACCCATATACGGTCAATACAGGAAACCTTGACAATTTCGCAACATTTTACTACATCTACGATGGCAGCCAACAACGACTTTTTAACCTTCATCGAATTATACGGCGTTGAATTGAACGACAATAATGTACTGCAATACAACTCCTTATTTGCAGAATTTAATAAATCCCGAACACAGGGGGAAAGCTTGGAAAGAAATTTCATCAAATGGAGCAGAAATTACAAATCCGAGAATATCCCTTCCAAACAACTAACCCCTGTATATGCTAGCCTACCCTCCGACCTTGCGAAAGTAAAAGATGAAAATCGTACGGTTGGAAATTTCTACAGTTTCACCCTTGATCAGATTGCAAACGACACGCGCGGTACATCCCAATTCGACATTGACGAACTTCTGAATAATTGCAGTCAACCACAACAAAACCCGTTGCCAATGGACACAACCCAAGAAATCGATAACACAGAAACCCTACAAAATTCAACAACCCAAACGGCGCCAACAACGATAACAAACAACGAGCAAAACACAGCCAAACAAAACCAAAATGAAACCGACGGTATAGAAATAATACCTGCACGACAACAGCCGAAAGGAAAAAATATTCAACAACTAAAAAACGCATACATGGATTTACACAAACGAAAGAAAACAATGCCGTGTACTGTTGTGCCAACAAAAGAACGAAAAACGGTTGGAAGACCAACACGTACTGATATTTTAACAAAAATCGCAAATGATCCACCGGACTTTAAGACAACAAACAAAATATACTGTAAAGATCTTATTCTACTGAACAACAAAAAGATTGAAAAAAAACGGAAAACTATTTTAACCAAATATAATCATAATCTCCGCGTTAGAAACAGTAAATATTTTACTGTTTTGAATATCTTAGTGAATGTGGACTGCAGAAAGAAACATTAATTGAACCATATATTAATGAAAAATAGATAAATATGTAAATAAATATTGAAAATTTATTAAATATTTGTTAATTTTTGTTAAAATTTGTTAATTTTTCTCAGAATATGTTAATTTGTATCGAAAACAACCATAAAACCGGAAATCTCCGGACGGATGCGACGTCTTACAACCCTGTAACCACACAAGGGGCGGCGCCATACTCCAGTCTCCAGTCCACAATTTCATGAGTCCAGTTTCTTCAATCCAGTCTTTTTTGTCATCTGTTAATCAAGATACATGCTAAAAACTGGACTGTCATATCTGGATTCCGGGCTAGAGAATGGAGCATGACGCCGCCCCTTTTTAAGTCACAAGGCGCCGTCCTCTTTTCGCGCATAAGAACCGCGCCAAATTCAAAACCGATCACTTCGGTGGACCATGGCTTCGGAGTAACATCTCCGTCACGCATGCGCACACGCGCGACGACCACACATAATGAGGGTTGTCCAATACTGTAGCAAGCATACGGACGGTTAGTTTGGTGAAAATATTTTTACCATCGGTGTCCATCCGTACCGATGGAAAAATGAATATACCATCGGTAAATAATGAATGTTCACCGGTACCGATGGTAAGCCAATTCACCATCGGTAAATAGAGATTGTCCATCGGTACCGATGGAGAAATGAATTTACCTTCGGTAAATTTGAAAAGTCCGTTGGTGAATGAGGTCGTTAGCAATATTGCTATGGCATAAGGTAGCCCTCCAAAACACTGTCCGTCGGTACCGATGGTAAGCCAATTCACCATCGGTAAATAGAGATTCTCTATCGGTACCGATGGAGAAATGAATTCACCATCGCTAAATTTGTAAAGTCCGTTGGTGAATGAGGTAGTTAGCATTATTGCTATGGCATAAGGTAGCCATCCAAAACACTGTCTGTCGGTACCGTCGGTACCGATGGTAAGCCAATTCACCATCGGTAAATAGAGATTCTCCATCAGTACCGATGGAGAAATGAATTCACCGTCGGTAAATCTGAAAAGTCCGTTGGTGAATGAAATATTTAGCATTATTGCTATGGCATAAGGTAGCCCTCCAAAACACTGTCCGTCGGTACCGTCGGTACCGATGGTAAGCCAATTCACCGTCGGTAAATAGAGATTGTCCATCGGTACCGATGGAGAAAAGAATTCACTATCGGCAACTTTGTAAAGTCCGTTGGTAAATGAAATAGTTAGCATTAGTGAGAGAGGCTAAGGTAGCCATCCAAAACACTGTCCGTCGGTACCGTCGGTACCGATGGTAAGCCAATTCACCATCGGTAAATGGAGATTGTCCATAGGTACCGATGAAGAAATGAATTTACCATCGGTAAATTTGAAAAGTCTGTTGGTGAATGAGGTAGTTAGCAATATTGCTATGGCATAAGGTAGCCCTCCAAAACACTGCCCGTCGGTACCGTCGGTACCGATGGTAAGCCAATTCACCGTCGGTAAATAGAGATTGTCCATCGGTACCGATTGAGAAAATAATTCACCATCGGTAAATTTGTAAAGTCCGTTGGTGAATGAAGTAGTTAGCATTAGTGAGACAGGCTAAGGTAGCCATCCAAAACGCTGTCCGTCGGTACCGTCTGTAGCGATGGTAAGCCAATTCACCATCGGTAAATAGAGATTGTCCATCGGTACAAAAGCTGTTTAATATGAGTCCCAATCAGGACAAAATTCTTAGTCTCTTACACGGTGTATCTCTTAATGATAAAGACAAGGTGATATGGACGAAATCTTTTCAAACTCTACAACAATTCGTCAAAGAAGTATTGAATTTATCCGATGGAGTATGAAGCTCTCCCGGCGGAGATGCGAAGCAATACAAATCTAAGGAGATTGATATCAGATGGTATCCTGACACACAGTCAATAACATTGGCTGGGAGCTGAAAGACGAGCTAAAGCTAAAATTAATCTCCCTAGCTTCGTTTTCAGAGCAACTGGCAAAACCCCCCGAAGCTTCTGACCAAGACGACTTTAGCGACGGACATGAGGGTCATGTTGCTTCGCCTATGCATCCTGATGTTGCCTCGCTTACAAATTCTGATACCACTGGGGACTTACAAAATGTTGTTGAAACAATCAGAATAGAGATGAAAACCCTGAAAAACCAGCTCGCAAAATTTCAAAATGCTACTAACTCGGCAATTAGAGATCTCAGGGAATCGTGTATTAAGATATCTGACGAAGATGAGAACGAGAATAAAGATGAAGAATTAAAAGACCTACGGCAGGAAAATGCGAAAATAAAGGATGAAAACAAAGCCTTAACTGAACGCATCAACGATCTTGCATACACTTTAGCAGATTTGAATAACAAAGCTAAAATTGCGGAAAACGAAAAGGCGAGCTTGGTTTGTATCCTACAGGATGATTCTAAATATGCCTCAATAGCCAAACCAATTTAACCAAATCAGCAAACAGCTCAATGGCTTCTACAAGAAAACCGACATGGCAAAAAGAACCGCGTGAACAGCCCAAGGAAAATACTAACTGCCGATAAACCTGAAATGACTGATTTCGCCGGGACAAATAAATATAACCTATTACAGATTTTATCAGAATCACAGAAGTAACGAGGCAGTTTCTCCTGCTATAAATGAAAGCTACCAGAGCCCAACCCTTGAAAAACCAAAAGGACAATCGAAGGAAAACTCAATGAGAACTAAACCTAAACATAATCAGCAGAATAGTGGATCAAATTCTACTGAAAGCCCAATAGCCATCCTGGGCGACTCCATGATCAAAATGCTCAATCCATCACGGTTACGGCGCTCGATCGGCAGAAAGACGATAGTAAAGACATTTCCTGGAGCATCGGTTACTGATATGAAGCATTATGTGAAGCCTACTCTTGAAAAGAACCCCGAACTCATTGTGCTACACGTCGGGACGAATGACATCCACCAGAAAGAACCAGAAGAAATTGTCAAGGAAATGGAATCTCTTTGTACAGGTATAGTAACGAACAGTTTAGCTAAAGTTGCTATTTCGGAAATCATACAAAGAGAAGACGAATCAAGGAACATAAAGATAAAGAACACGAATAATCTTTTAGCTAAGCTTTGTAGTAAATACAAGTGGGCAATTGTCCAGCATGGTAATATTAACATATCTAATCTTCATGCCTCTGGCTTGCACCTGAATATAACAGGTACAGCAACACTAGCAAAGAACTATATCAACTTTTTAAAGCATTGACTAAGTCTTCCAAAGGTCAGTGACCTAGAATACATCTACCATATTTGTAGCATAATTAATAATCCTGACAAAACAAATCTTGAAAATGTAAATCAAACTCCTATGGCAACCTCAAATATTGATAAATTAAGCAATAACTCCTTCAAACAAGATGAATTAGTACCAACAATTCGTGGCTTTAAAATAGCCAGCTTAAATATTACTAGTCTGCCGAAACATATAGACGAATTAAAGTGTCGCAATGAGAAATAAAGAAATTGATGTCCTTGCAATTAATGAAAGCAGAATGGACAACAGTATAGCACCCGAGTTAATAACAATACGTGGCTACAACTGGGTTTCCAAAGATAGAAATAGATTTGGGGGTGGTATTGGTTTCTAATTAGAAATACAATAAATTATTGTCTTAGACCAGACCTAAATGATAATGATCTTGAAATTTTAACAATTGAAATTATTAAAAACAAAGTTATGCCATTTCTAATTACTACATGGTACAGACCGCCAAGCGATTCAATCAGCACTCTATATAAATTTGAGAGTTGTTTAAAATTAATTGATAACGAAGACAAAGAAAGTATTATCTTAGGGGATATTAATTGTGATCTCCTAGACAACAATCCCACGTCACTAGTATCAGAATTGAAATTTATTACAAATCTATATCAATACGAACAATTGATAAAAGAGCCTACTAGGGTTACAAAAGATACTTCATCCCTTATAGATCATTTTTATACAACAAACACCAACCACATTATTTCTAGTGGTGTGACAGCTATCACTATCAGTGATCACTATTTGATCTACGGCATTCGTAAATTTAAAACTTTTAAACAGTCTCCACGGTTTATTGAATACCGGGATTTTAAACACTTCAATGAACAAGACTTTATGTGTAATCTAACATCGTTATCAAATTTGAATCTCATCCATTCTGATCCTAATAAATCTTGGACGATTTGGAAAAACAAATTCCTAGAGATTGTAAATATACATGCCCCGCTTAAAAGACGCAAAGTATCCAGTAAACAAATACCATGGTTAACGAATGATCTTATTTTAAAAAAGCGGGAGAAGACATATTTAAAACGCAAAGCAGTGTTATCAAAGTCTATGACTGACTGGTCCGACTACCGCCATGCAAGAAATCGTTATAATAAACTAGTGAAAGATACAATCCGCAGTCATTTTCAAAATAAATTACATAATAACCAAGGTGATCTTAAAAAAACCTGGAAAACGATTAATGAGTTAATTAATAAGTCTAAAAAAGAGAATACAGTTCTAGAAGTAAGAATTGATTCTGTTGAAATTACTGATCCGATAAACATCTCAAATGCATTTAATAAGAATTTTGTTGAAATGGGAGATAAACTTTCGAATGATATACCTCAATCAAATGTAACTCCTGAAAAGCATCTCTAAAGCATCCGGCAACGATGGAATTTCAGCCAAAATTTTGAAAATCGCAGCTCCAGCAATTACTCCATCCATTGTATCAATTTTTAATCAATCAATCGCAACTGGTATATTCCCATCTGATTGGAAAGTCGCTAGGGTAGCTCCAATACACAAAACAGGAGCTAAGCACGATATGGAAAATTACAGACCGATATCTGTTATTTCAATTATAGCGAAGATCATGGAGAAACTGATACATAATCAATTATATGACTATCTTATAGCTTCAAACCTACTAACAAATTCCCAACACGGCTTTAGACCATGTCATTCAACAACCACAGCTCTATTAGATATTACTAATAGATGGTACCAAAACATGGACGTAGGACAATTAAATGGAGTTGTATTTTTAGATTTAAAAAAGGCCTTTGATACTGTTGACCACGACATTCTTCTAAAAAAAATAAAAATTTATGGCATAAAAGACATGGCACTCTGTTGGTTGCGATCATATCTATCAGACAGAATCCAATATTGTCAAATAAATGGTCACCTGTCAGATCCCCTAACCGTGAAAACCGGAATACCACAAGGCTCGGGATTAGGCCCATTATTGTTTTTGATCTATATTAATGATTTTCCAAAATGTTTAAGACACACTAGACCAGATATGTTTGCCGATGACACCCAAATTGCAACATCTAATAGCGATATTAATGTAATCTTAGAGAATCTTAACACAGATTTAATAAATGTTTCGACTTGGATGTCAGCTAATAAATTAACTTTGAACAATAAAAAAACGGAGTTCATGGTTATAGGTAGCAATAAGCGACTTGGCCAAATAGTCCAAGAACCCTCAATTTGTATGAGAGGCAAAGAGATTAAAAAGGTTAATACAACCAAGTCGCTTGGCCTAATGATTGATGATACTTTATGCTGGTCGGCCCAAGTTGAAAAAATTACAAAAAAAGTTAACTCGGGACTCAGCATTATTAGAAGACTGCGGGATATTGTTGATTATAATACTTTAATAACTGTTTATAAATCAATAATCCAACCACACTTTGATTATTGCTCACAAGTTTGGGGTTGCCTAGGAAAGGTTTTATCAGATAAACTTCAGCGTCTCCAAAATAGAGCGTTTCGTATTATTACCGGTGAAGGATATGAAACGCGATCAAAAGATATTCAAATCAGGGCAGGATTTTCAGATCTGCAAACAAGAAGGGAACAACAACTTGCTACATTAATGTATAAGATTAAACATAAAATGCTTCCAAACTACCTGCAGGATATTTTCATCAATACGCAAGAAGCCCATAATCATAACACTAGGCATAGTGAATTTAATTATACATTACCAATGCCAAATACTAATGCTATGAAAAAATCATTGGCCTACAGAGGTGCCGAGACTTGGAATGCTCTCCCAATTGACCTGAAGTCGTTAGGAAGTATAGCAACTTTTAAGAGTGGGGTAAAACAATGCAGATTGATATAATGTTAAGTCACAAAAAAATTTTATATTTATAGTAGTTAGCACACGGCCTATTGGAAGATCACTTTTTTTCTGGTTGTTTTTGTAAATAATATATTTTTAATATAATGTGAAATAGTACCGTGTTTAAATAAATAAATAAATAAAGTTGAAGGTACCGATTGAGAAAAGAATTCACCATCGGTAAATTTGTAAAGCCCTTTGGTGAATGAACTAGTTAGCATTAGTGAGAGAGGCTAAGGTAGCCATCCAAAACGCTGTCCGTCGGTACCGTCGGTAGCGATGGTAAGCCAATTCACCATCGGTAAATAGAGATTGTCCATCGGTACCGATTGAGAAAAGAATTCACCATCGGTAAATTTGTAAAGTCCGTTGGTGAATGAAGTAGTTAGCATTAGTGAGACAGGCTAAGGTAGCCATCCGAAACGCTGTCCGTCGGTACCGTCGGTAGCGATGGTAAGCCAATTCACCATCGGTAAATACAGATTGTCCATCGGTACCGATGGAGAAATGAATTGACCATCGGTAAATTTGAAAAGTCCGTTGGCGAATGAGGTAGTTAGCATTATTGCTATGGCATAAGGTAGCCATCCAAAACACTGTCCGTCGGTACCGTCGGTACCGATGGTAGGCCAATTCAGCATCGGTAAATAGAGATTGTCCATCGATACCGATGGAGAAATGAATTGACCATCGGTAAATTTGAAAAGTCCGTTGGTGAATGAGGTAGTTAGCATTATTGCTAAGGCATAAGGTAGCCATCCAAAACACTGTCCGTCGGTACCGTCGGTACCGATGGTAAGCCAATTCACCATCGGTAAATAGAGATTGTCCATCGGTACCGATGGAGAAAAGAATTCACCATCGGTAAATTTGTAAAGTCCGTTGGTGAATGAAGTAGTTAGCATTAGTGAGACAGGCTAAGGTAGCAATCCAAAAAGCTGTCCGTCGGTCCCGTCGGTAGCAATGGTAAGCCAATTCACAATCGGTAAAATAGAGATTGTCCATCGGTACCGATGGAGAAATGAATTGACCATCGGTAAATTTGAAAAGTCCGTTGGTGAATGAGGTAGTTAGCATTATTGCTATGACATAAGGTAGCCCTCCAAAACACTGTCCGTCGGTACCGATGGTAAGCCAATTCACCATCGGTAAATAGAGATTCTCTATCGGTACCGATGGAGAAATGAATTCACCATCAGTAAATTTGTAAAGTCCGTTGGTGAATGAAATAGTTAGCATTAGTGAGACAGGCTAAGGTAGCCATCCAAAACGCTGTCCGTCGGTTCCGTCGGTAGCAATGGTAAGCCAATTCACCATCGGTAAATAGAGATTGTCCATCGGTACCGATGGAGAAATGAATTGACCATCGGTAAATTTGAAAAGTCCGTTGGCGAATGAGGTAGTTAGCATTATTGCTATGGCATAAGGTGGCCCTTCAAAACACTGTCCGTCGGTACCGTTGGTACCGATGGTAAGCCAATTCACCGTCGGTAAATAGAGATTGTCCATCGGTACCGATGGAGAAAAGAATTCACCATCGGTAAATTTGTAAAGTCCGATGGTGAATGAAATAGTTAGTGAGAGTGGCTAAGGTAGCCATCAAAAACACTGTCCGTCGGTACCGTCGGTACCGATGGTAAGCCAATTCACCATCGGTAAATAGAGATTGTCCATCGGGACCGATGGAGAAATGAATTCACCATCGGTAAATTTGAAAAGTCCGTTGGTGAATGAGGTAGTTAGCATTATTGCTATGGCATAAGGTAACCATCCAAAACACTGTCCGTCGGTACCGTCGGTACCGATGGTAAGCCAATTCACCATCGGTAAATAGAGATTGTCCATTGGTACCGATGGAGAAAAGAATTCACCATCGGTAAATTTGTAAAGTCCGATGGTGAATGAAATAGTTAGTGAGAGTGGCTAAGGTAGCCATCCAAAACACTGTCGGTCGGTACCGTCGGTACCGATGGTAAGCCAATTCATCATCGGTAAATAGAGATTGTCCATCGGGACCGATGGAGAAATGAATTCACCATCGGTAAATTTGAAAAGTCCGTTGGTGAATGAGGTAGTTAGCATTATTGCT